AGCCGCTCGGGCTGTTCGCGGAGGGCGAGCTGATGTCGGTGGGCATGGACACGTTCATCCACCGCATCGACTCCACCGAGGTCATCTACCAGCCGCGCCGCAAGCGCGCCAAGCTCATCGGCAAGTACCTGATGGGCGACCTGCTGGGCGAGGGCTCCTACGGCAAGGTGAAGGAGGTGCTGGACTCGGAGACGCTGTGCCGCAGGGCCGTCAAGATCCTCAAGAAGAAGAAGCTGCGGCGCATCCCTAACGGCGAGGCCAACGTCAAGAAGTGAGTGCGCGCGGGCTGTCCTGGGCCGCCCCGCCACCCTGCTCCTGCCCCTGTGCCTGCTGCCCTGCTCCTCCACCTGCCCCTGCCCCTCCACCTGCTCCTGTCCCCCCACCTGTCCCTGCCCCTCCACCTGCCCCTGTCCCTGCCCCTCTACCTGCTCCTGGATCTGGCTCTGTACCTGCTGCCCTGCCCCTCTCCCTGCCCCTGCTCCCCTACCCGATCTCCTACCTGCCCTTCCACCTGGTCCTCTACTTTCTCCCCTACCAGCCCCCTTACCTGCTCCCCTGCCTGCCCTGGACCTGCTCCCCTATGCACTCCTCCACCTGCTCCTCCACCTGCCCCTCCACCTGCTTCCCTACTTGCTTCCCTTCCTGCTCCTCTTTCTGCTTCCTTACCTGTTCCCCTGCCTCTCCCCTGCCTGCTCCCCTGCCCGCTCTCCTCTCTCCCTGCTGCCCTCTCCCCTGCCTGCTCCCCTGCCTCTCCCCTGCCTGCTCCCCTGCCTCTCCCCTGTCCTCTCCCCTGCCTGCTCCCCTGCCTCTCCCCTGCCCTCTCCCCTGCCTGCTCCCCTGCCTCTCCCCTGCCTGCTCCCCTGCCCGCTCTCCTCTGTACCTGCTCCCCCCTCCCTTGCCCTCTCCGTACTCTCCTAACTTCTGTCCCTGTCCCCCCTTCTGTCTGTCTCCACTTCGCTCCCTGCCTCTTCCCTTCTCTCTCCCCTCCCTTTCCTCTCCCACTGCCCTGGTGCCCTCCTCCCCTGCTGCCTCCCCCCTGCATGTTCCTTGAACTGGGCCTGAGGGGGCTGGCCGGCCAGGCGACACCATGCCGCCGAGGGGAGCGTGGTGGGAAACTGTGTGGACTGGGCGCTCAGGCCCCAAGACGTGCACGTGCGCGTTTGGGCTCCCTAGCCCTGTGGGCCGCGCCTGTCCCCGTGTCCCAGCTGTGGGCACGCACAGGTGCCCGGGAGGGGCCTGCGGTTTTCTGTGCGGTGGTGCAAGGCCCTGCAGGCCAGGCCAGTGCACTGTGCGTCTCGTCCCCACTGCAGAGGAAGGGCTTGCCTGGCTGGGCGGTCAGCAGGTGTCACCAGCCCTGTGTCACCCGGTACTGGCCTCCATGCAGGCCGTGGGCGGCCTGACTTTCAGGCAGGCTTCCTGGAGGGGCCAGCCGTCCTTATCATGG